TTTAAAATGGAAGTTGTCTTTTTGATATTCTTATTTCTTTTCCTTTGGATATATACCCAGTGGTGGAATTGCTGAATTACATATAGTTCTATTTTTAATTTTTTGAGAAACTTTCCATATGGTTTTCCACAAAGCCTGTAGTAATTTAATTTACCATCAATGTTGTGTCAGAGTTCCTCTTTGTCCACATGATAGCATGTGTGTGTGATTCCCCCCCATTTTTATAATAGATATTCTAACTGGAATTAGATGATATTTCATTATGGTTATGATTTGCATTTCCCTGAAGAATACATCTGCTTTTAAAATATTATTTGCAAATTGCAGTAATTATTTCAAAATTTGGAAATACACATGCACACAAACAGATATATAATTGTTTAATTAGGACCAGTATACTGCCTGGATTATAAACTCCATGATGGTAGGGATTAGGTCTGATTTGTTCACCATTATATCCTTGGTACCTGAGATGTATTCCATATTCAATAAATATTCCTTGAATAAGTGAATTTAAAAAGGTACAAAGTAATGATGATGGTACTTTTATTTACTTTTATTCTATGAAGGGCCTGCTTTTTGTTTGTTTTACATTTTTTTTTATCTTATTAAAGATTCGCTTTATACATTTAGACTTTGTTACTTTAAGAAATCTGTTTATCTGCAAAGACATATTCTGTGGGTTATCAAATCATGTGTCTAATGGTTTGCCAGTTTACGAGTCTGATAATTTTAAATAATTGGAGAACAACCCAATAAAATCAAGTAAAGGCAAAACCCACCTAATACAATTATTTTTGAAAGCCACTTGTTTCTGAATATWTTTAAGTTTTTCTGGAGAATGCAGGGGTCTTCATCATTTCATAGAGTTAGTATCAGGGCATTTGCACAGTTGACACACTGCACCTTCCATCTGTAAAGATGACTAGTAGAAAAGGCAAAGGTAAGCAACTGATGTACAAGGTCAATGGGAGGCCTTAGTGATGAAGATCCCAGGCAAGGCAAGTCACTGTGACACACAGGACAGTCTGAAACTCACAGTGCTCTGTAAGAGGAAGCCTGAGTTCTCTTTAAAAAGGAAACTTCATGGACTCACCTTGGGCTTCTTCAACAGAAGCCTGGTGACTCAGAAACCCTCTCACAACACTAAAACACAGATAAAAGATAATCTTTTCTTCCAAGAATAAGGATGTGTTTGGTCCTGCTATCAGAGAGGGTGGAAGAAGCAGTTTCATCATCTTTCAAACAAAACCAGCTTTGTCAAAAGTTTGCTATTTCCTCTGCCGTTCTGGTATTCCTTGTGCCCTCTAAGGATTTTTAAAGTGGCCAGAGCCATGATGTTGCCCAGTTTTGCTACCAACTTTCCTTTTCCCTGATCTTTTGTTTCAATGTCTGCTTGCTTTCCCCAATGTGCTCACTGAAGCCTGATTGTGGGGTCAAGCTATAATTAGTTTATATATGAAGTTTAATTCACTGTGGCTCTTTTGGCATTAGACTCAAATGGGCTTTGATGTCTGGCTGGAGCTTTGATCCCAGGCTCTCAAATGGTGGTCATCACCCAAACTAAAAGGATTGCCCTTTACTTTTTTTTCTCTCCTATTTGGAGACAGCTTTTCCCAATTACATCATTTGTGTTTGTTTGGCCATAAAAGTTGCAAGGCATCATTTTGTTGCTTTTCTCTATAGCAAAATGTACAATTGATGCTCCTTACTTTGCTTGTCTGCAATAGAATGTTCACAGCCCGATAAGGAATTTGTAGAATGATGCTCAGAGTTTGGTGAGTGTGCTCTTAGGAATTGTTCTGCCCAAGGGCAAAAACGCCAGACTGTGATCTGAGAGACTGTTGCTGGCTCTGCCTAGGAAATATCTTTAAATAAAAGGCTACACAACTGTAGTGCATTCAATCAAGACTCTTTTTTCATGCTGGCAACTATAGCTTACTGGCCAGCTCCTCTGGGTAGCAGATCCACTGTATCTTTAGTGCCACACATTCTGTTCTGAGTGTCCATAAGACAAGAAGCCTTCAGGGAAAGTGAAAGAACTAACTTGAAAGGAGATAATGAAGTAGTACTAGTGGAGAAAGAAGCACCAGTACCTGCTTTAAAAAGAAAGAGAAAGGAAAAAAAAAATCAAAACCATAGAGGGAAGTAAGACTTTATCAGCAGAAGAAGGAAGGAAGCAGTAGGTGATTTCTTTCAATTGTCTTCCAAATACCTGCAACCAAATCAAAGAATCAAAGAGGAAAAAAAAATCCCGGGAACAAGAACAGGGAGGAGGAGACTGTTAGGTTAAGAAGAGCATAGGGGCAACCAGTCATGCTTAATATGACATTGGGGGTTTTCCTGGAAAAAACAATTACACCATTGAGCTCCTTGCTTCTAACTTCATTTGACAGCCCAAGTTTGTTTTAATTGGCATGTGAATGAACAGCATTATTTATTAATGTGCAATGGATACTTTGGAAAGCATAACCTTTTTTCCTATTTGTGACCATTTTATTGGAGGAACCATCAGAGCGCATTAGTTTTAATATTTAAACTTGCTGGAAACACTTTTTCATGGAGATGTACAAGCTGTTATGGCAAATGGTTTGCTTTGGAGTAATGAGCCAGCTCAAAGTGGCATTTGGTGGGAGGGGGGTTGGGAAGGTTAGGGAGGTTTGGAGACATAGCAACTTGTCTGTCTGCTTTAGCAAGATTTATTAGTAGTGTGTAAAAACATGTTTCAGCTTCTTCCCCCTCCTCAACTATATAAATATAGTTGTCAATGTGTGACATAACACAGGCCACAATAATAGACTCCGCCCAGCCAGGCGGAATCTGATTTAGACTAGAAAGCAAGATGCTTGTTTAGAAGAGAACAGAATGAAACAATGACAGAAGACACGGGTGAGTGGTATTTGGCAGGCAGGAGAAGTCATTATTTGTTAGTCTTACTAAATTTAGGGAGCAAAATTAGTTCCTGTATTATCAAATAGGGGTTGGTACACAGTAGGCAGGAAGAATAGGTGACCTGAATAGAATTTATTTTGTCAGCTTAGGAACACCTGGAATACAATTTCATTTTTAGATCTACTATGGAATCTTGTTAATTATCAAGGTTGTAGTTCCTTTCATGTATGGAGAAGGTAAAATGGGGAGGAGAGTGAAGGGTGGCAAAGGAGCTTTTGCTTTTGTTTTTTGTCTTTTTGGTAAATGTCGACTTAGTTACATTTTTAATGGAGATTAAATGGGTACTATTAAGTTTAAAAGTTAGTTAAAAAGTATGTTAATAAATAAACAATCTACAACTAACCTACATCCTCTTGAGTTTCTAGCAATTATCAGTTGAATGCTTGCAGTGCACTGTGCTGGGAACAGTTAGTCTACCAGGGTAGACTGCCTTCAGGGAGCTTTTATAAAATAGCTGGAGAGAAGAGATACACATAAACACCTACGTACACAGATGTGTGTGCACACACCCAGGTAAATAACCAAACAATAGCTTATGGAAAGGTCCAAATATTCATTCAGTTAAGGAGTTCAAAGGAGGGAAGAGAGTGAGCTGATTTTGGAAGGAAGATTAGACCACACAGTGAAGGGACAAAGAAAATTCCTGGCAGGGGTAAGCAGCTGGTCAAAGGTGCAAGAGTCTGCCATAATGATATAAGAAGTATTCCTTCACACAACACTTTGCCTGAACTTCAGCAAAATGTGACATGCTGGTTTCAATTTCCGTGTTGCTTGCCTACGTGCTTTTAACAATCGTGTGGTACTGTCCCATAAACAGGCCAGCTAGTGGCATTTGCAGATCCCTAGGTCACTGAAATTCCCTGTGTCCAGTGTCCTAAGCCTAAATGATCATCCCACAAATGATACTTCAGGGGAAAATTTGATAAGTTCCTCTGGTGGGGTGGGGCAAGAGGCACAAGTCATAAAACCTTAAAATCTTTGCGCCAGCTATGTTGTAAACACACTCTTTCAAGAGATGTATGTTGTATGATGTGCATTATCAAATTTCTTGCAACAGGCAAGTTCTGATAGTAGCTCCATTTCACCTTTGGGGAAACATGCAGAGAGGGCAAGTAATTTGCCCATACAACTATTCAAGAGTGAAACAGGATTTCAAATTCAGGTACTCTGGTTTCAGAGTCTGGCTCTAGTGAACAGAGACTAAATAACAACATTAAAAAGCAAACAAAACCCCAGTCGCATAAGCACGCACACTCATAAACTTTAGGCTTTAAAAGAACTGATGCCACCGGCTCGCCCTAAGATGACATCCTCCTGCTTGGTTTTAAATGCCTTCTAAAGTGAGATTTCCGTCAAAAATTAAAAAGAGCAAGACTTAAAAACGTTTCTAAAACAACCCTGCAATGTGCTTTCTATGGATGCTTTTACAAAATGGAGTTAAAAAAAAAAAAAAAAAAAAAAAAAAAAACAGAAACAAAACCAAAAGCTCAACATAGAAATTGTCTTCGAATACACTCGCAGTAACTTGCTTGGGAAGGTGAAAGAAACCTAAACCAGTGTGAGCGGACCCGGAGAGTGGACGTGTGGGGAAAGGGTTAAGATTGTGTACTGCAACTTGGTCGAGTTTCAGAAAGTTCTCTGGGGAGCCCAACTGCCGTGTCCCTTCGCGGACCCTGCCGGCTAGGCTGACTGTAACAGGATGCTGGGGCTCCAGGCGCTCGCCGCTCGCTTTTGGGTGATGGAAAAGAGCCAATGAGCAACGAGGAAAAATCGGGTGCAGTGAAGTCGGAAAGGGGGCTAGCAGGCCCGCGGGAAGAGCGGGGGAGGAGACAGGGAGGGGCGGGGAGGAGGAGGCCGGCCGCGAGCGCGAGCGGTGCGCCTGACAGAAGACCGGTGAACGAGGGGGGCGAACCTAGAGSACAGGGGCCGGCGCGGGGAGGCGGGCGCCAGGCGGGGGTGGCCCGGCCACCGCGCGTGACGTAGCGCCGGGCTGGGCGTTATCAGCTGCGGGGCCGTGGCTAGGGACTCGCGGCGACAGCGGACGGCGCCGCTCGGGCCGGGTCCTCGGCAGCCGGCTGCCGCGAGCGGGTCCCGAGCGCTTGTGCTTTGGTCCCCGCAGCTGTGCCCCAGTGCGGGGAGGCATGAACTCGCAGCTGCAGCCCTAGCGCCTCGCTCCTCCACCCTGGCAGCCCGGCTGCGGTGACCGGTCTTTGCTCCTGGGCTGGGGGCCATGAAGCCGAGTCCAGCCGGCACCGCGAGGGAGCTGGAGCCTCAGGCACCCGCCCGGGGCGAGCAGCGTGCGGCGGAGCCCGAGGGGCGCTGGCGGGAGAAGGGCGAGGCGGATACCGAGCGGCAGCGCACCCGAGAACGGCAGGAGGCCACGCTGGCCGGGCTGGCGGAGCTGGAGTACCTGCGCCAGCGCCAGGAGCTGCTGGTCCGGGGCGCCCTGCGCGGCGTCGGGGGCGCGGGGACCGCTGCGCCCCGAGCAGGGGAGCTGCCTGCCGAGGCGGCGCAGCGCAGCCGCCTGGAGGAGAAGTTCTTGGAGGAGAACATCTTGCTGCTGCGGAAGCAATTGGTAAGTTGTGCCCGGAGGTGAGGCAAGGCTGCCCCTGCCGTCRGGCAGGTGGTCTGGTGTGGGCGCGGGGTTGCCTCTGGCTGGGGAAATTCTTGCAGTCTTGAGCCCCCACCCCCACCCCCGCCTCATACCTCCCTAACCCCCAGTGCTGTGTGCCTGCGGCGCGTCGTTCTGGCGTGTGCCTGCTTTGTGTCAGGTGAGGGGCTGGCGACCTCGCGCGGATTGCGGGGAGGGGGTGGCTGCTCTCCCCTCCTCCTCTGCATTCGAGATTCTTGGAGTCGCTAGTTCTTACCTTGTCTCCATAGTTAAATGAGTACATGCCCTTTCCCCAGAGGTTCGCAACCCCCCACTTAAAATGCCATTTCATTAGGAGGTCTCCCTAGTTTCATCTCCTCCCGCAGAGAGGGGACAAAAGCGAGGAGGGGGCTTGTGGCTTGGCTAACTAACACCGAGTTTTACGATTACACTGAAGCGCCTGTAGGGAGCCCTGCCCCTCCCAGGGCTCTCCCCAGCATACCAGCTTTCTCCTGGACTGGTGCTTAGTTTCAAATAGAAGTCCTTTGTATAAGGCAGCTAAAACTAGATTGCAATTGATGGCAATTTGGCTGGAGAACGTGCCTCCTCTTCTTTATGCGTTCTGCTAGCTGTGATTGGTGGTAGAGGTGGGAGAAGAGAGAACTTGCTCTCGAGGAGCATTTATCTTACAGGATTTCTGTCAGCGTCCCAGGCACTCTATGCAGTCTTCATTAATGGAAAGAAAAGGAACTTTGGACCTTAGTGTATTGAGAACAGCTTTTGACCCCGCCTCAGAATAATGGCGGCAGCTTTGTTTCGGTGACCTCAAAATGTAGTTTTGGAAAACGGCAAAAAGATCCTTATCTGACCATGTGATACTATCTGAAAGTAGACACATGCTAGATAATGGCCCTCTTAAAATAAAGTGTCGGGAGGCTGTCAGTGTCATGTGTTTTCTTGTTTTGTCTCTTTTCAGACAATTTATTTTTTGAGCATCTAAGTGCCTTTACTTATTTGATTCATTTTTCCTGAAGAAACTMAAATTTTAGCAAACAAGCATCTGATTTATGTCCCCTAGCTTTTTAAATCAAAGAACCGTCAAGAGGAGTAGGTATTCATGTGCATCTATTTTGTAAGGATGTATGCTGTGGTTTTTGTGTGATAGCTCTSGTTTGGGCGTTTTACTGTTTCTTTGAACAGACCAGGATCATATGTAACAACAATTTGAACCAATTCTCACTGGTTATGCCTGGTCATTTACATTTTATGCAGTGCCTTGTGCAATAGCACATTTTGGGCTTCATGACTGTCAGGATTGCAAGTGATGCATTCCTATTGTCTGTCTGAGGGGAGCAAGGAGAATTCCAGTCCAGTCAGTGTTTATGGTACTATTTTCATTTGTAGACTTGGCATTCATGATTTGAACCAGATGCCTTTTGAGTTCTTTTGCCTTTCCAGCCAGCTCTAGGAAGCACTAGGTGGCGGTGTGAGTTAGCACAACCAATCTGTCACCTTTGGAAACCTGAGCTGAGTTCAAATCTTGATGGACCTTCCCTTGAGGGTTTTGGATTCTGCCAGCTCACATTATACTTGGCACTGGCTATTAGTATTAGTTTCTCACTTTCAAAGGCCCTAAGACTGATTAAACCCCACAAAGCAACTAATAGAAAACAAAACTCTGCAGGCCAGAAAACCTCACCTAAGTAAGATTATAATGTATTGTAGGAAACTTGTTACTCTGACTTCAAATTCAAAAGTCTACCATGAAGCTTTATTTTAAACTGGCTATATACCAGATGGATTRAAGTCTCTCTGTAGTTTTCTTGCCTCTCCCTATAAAAAGTCACAGATTGTATATATTAGTTAAAACAAACAACAAAAAAAGTTCTTTAGAAAAATGAAGAAACTGCATCATCACAAAACAAGAGAAAGTAGAATTAAAGATAGGACATATTTTCCAGTTACTGAAATTTTTCTTTACTTCAGGTTATCCAGTAAAATTTTGGTTTTGGGAAGGGTTAGTGAACCTTGAAAACTTAAGACTTTCTGGTTCTTTGTCACTAAAGTATATCCATTTTTCCTTTCCCTGTTTCTTCCTAATTAGAATTGTTTAAGGAGAAGAGATGCTGGCTTGTTGAATCAGTTGCAAGAACTTGACAAACAGATAAGTGACTTGAGACTGGATGTAGAGAAGACATCTGAAGAACATCTGGAGACAGACAGCCGGCCTAGCTCAGGTGAGTGTGTGTACACAAGGACAGAATTCTGCACTCACAGGTAGCCCCCTGTGGTTGGTAGTTACAGACTTGCAAATGGCAGTGGGGTTTGTTTCCATTGCTGAGAGAACTAAGAGTAGTTTACTATTCAGTTGCGTGAGAAAGAAATAAAGTCAGATGATAAAATTTTTAATAATGAGATCGATCTGACTGCAGTCCCCTGAGTTAAAAAAAAAAAGGTTCTATTCAAATTTTTGGAAGAGCAGTCCTTTGAAACTTGAGAAAGTCAGAATTGGGCGAGAAAATTAGTCACACTTCAACTTCCTGAGATCACTTCAAAAGTTTTTTTTTTTTTTTTTCTTTTAAACCATTTGGCTCCTTAGATTTTATTTTCTCTTAAGGCTATTCCTTCTGAAAGATTCATGATAAAGTTGAAGCTTTGGCAGATCTAAGTTCCTTTCTTACACATCTTTAAAAGCAAGGCCAAGGAGGAAGGTCAATTTGATGGTGAGAGTAACTTTGAAACATAACCATAGTTATACACTCTTTGCCTTTTCATGATGATTGTTTGAAATAAAACCATATTATCAGCTATTGGACTCTAAAATCCAGTGAAATAAAATGGCCCAAAACACCAAAAAATAAAACCCTCTTCCCTTTTTCCTTTTAAGCATGAATGTGTATTATCCTTGACATAATTTTAATTCCTACAATTTTTTTATTTGTAGGGTTTTATGAGCTGAGTGATGGGGCTTCAGGATCCCTTTCTAATTCCTCTAACTCGGTGTTCAGTGAGTGTTTATCCAGTTGTCATTCCAGCACTTGCTTTTGCAGTCCCTTGGAGGCAACCTTGACTATCTCAGATGGTTGCCCCAAATCTGCAGGTAAGAATTGTTAGCATTGATAGAAATTTTAACTGGCAGGGTTAAGGACCCTTAGAGTTATGTAGCTCTGACCTCTTTTGCTAATGGAAAACCAAAAGTTCATCAATTTACTTCACTGAGTGCCATAATATGTCTAAATTTATAGCTTTATCTAGATGAATGTCTAGGATTAATTTAGTCTTCTTTGGGTCTCATTTGGCTTTGTATTCTCATAGTAGCAAGACAATTTAACAGTGGAGATACTGCACCAATATTATAAGTCTTGAACTGAATTTCTGAGTTTTTGCTGTTTAATTTGTCTGTATTTTCTTTTCTTTTTTGTTTTGGTGCTGGGGATTGAATCTAGAGTGTTGTGGCATGCTGAACACGTGTTCTACCACTGTGCTATATCTCTAACCCCATTGCATTTCTTTTGAAAACCATTTTGGAACAGTTTTCTTCTTCCTTTAATCACTTAAAACTAAAGTGTACATTAAGTTAAATACGTCCATCATCCTTGTCAAGAACTGGCACCTCAGAAAGCTCTGGCCCTTCCATGTTTCCTAGAATACTCTGTATGATGGGCACCCTCCCCCACCCAGCCCATAATTCCCCACTTGGGACTATACTTGCTATGACCTCCTGAGAGAATCATATTGTTAGTACTGGCAGTTTTTGCATTTCTACTATGTGGCATGCACCACTAGATGCTCTGCATATCTCTTTTGATCCTCGAAATAGTTCTGCAGAGTGTGTAGGTATTTTTAGCTCTATTTTATGTATTAAAAAACTGAGGCCAATTGAAGTTCTTTAAGCTATTTACATAGTAAGTGGCAGAGGCAGGATTCAAGCTCATGTCTAACTGCCAGGTCCATGTTTACCATCCCAAGGGAATTCAAAATTTTTTTTTTTTTTTTTTTTTTTTTTAAGAGAGAGAGAGAGAGAGAGAGAATTTTAATATTTATTTTTTAGTTTTCGGCGGACACAACATCTTTGTTTGTATGTGGTGCTGAGGATTGAACCTGGGCCGCACGCATGCCAGGCGAGTGCGCTACCGCTTGAGCCACATCCCCAACCCGGAATTCAAAATTTTTATATTTAACAATCTCATCTAATAGAGGAGGAATTTTGGCTTATAAGCTGTTGTCAGAAACTCCCCATGGGCTGAATGGCAGAGTTGTTGCTGAAATTCACAACTACACCTTTGGTCCTATGAAAGAGCAGAGAAGATAAGAGATGCTGCAGGTGCTGGCACAAGWCACTGTACTCAGTGTTTATCTATTTTTCACTTGGGTATGAGACTGAACTTTTGAGTTCAGGCAAGGAAAACCTAACACTGAGCAGCTGAGGTTGCTAATTGGTTTGTATTTGTACAATATGTGTTCCAACAGCAATCATTTGGGGAAACACAGAACTGTGTTATCTAGAGTGTCTGGGCCTCAAGTTCATTGATAATTGTTCTTCCTAACTCTGTAAATCTGGTTTCAGAGGTAAAMTTTATAAGCCCATTGAAAGGTACTTTTGTACAGGTTTTCCTTGAAGACAGACCTCTGTCTCTCTCAAATGCCCTCCTTGCATCATTGAGACAGTTGGGCTGGGCCTTGAGCTCTCTGGTTCAACTCTTAAATAAGGACAAGGGATCAGTGGTGAAATGTAGGTAAATGTGGCTTTAAGTAAGGCAAAAGCTGGGTGTGGTTTTGTAATCCCAGTGGCTCTGGAAGATGAAGCATGAGGGAGGCGGAAGTAGGAGGATCATGAGTTCAAAGCCAGCCTCAGCAACTTGGCAGGGCAATAAGCAACTCAGTGAGACCCTTTCATCTCCAATAAAATACAAAATAGGGAGCTAGGGATGTGGCTCAGTGATTGARTGTCCCTGAGTTCAATCTTCAGCACTGAAAAAGAGAAAAAAGTAAGGCAAAGATAGGACTTAGGGTAGTGGAGGAGGAGGGATGGGAAAGGATAGAGGTTTCCTTTTCTTAGAACACACTATTTATTTATTGGGGGTTGAGTAGATGAAGATTATCATTTTGCTTTTTAAAATATTTTCTTTATAAAAGAAATTTATTACAGGTACATAGGTTTTTAATATCTGGATAAATAAATATAATGGAATATAAATCAATGATGGACTCAACTTTGATTTTTCTCTGATAACTTAAGGTCATTAAAAGGATTTGATGTTTATAATATTCACCAAGAAATCAAAATCATCACCAGGTGCTGTGGCCCACACCTGTAATCCCAGTGGCTTGGGAGGCTGAGGCAGGAGGATCGTGAATTCAAAGCTAACCTCAGCAATGGAGAGGTGCTAAGCAACTCAGTGAGACCCTGTCTCTAAACAAAATACAAAATAGGGCTGGGGATGTAGCTTAGTGGTTGAGTGCCCCTAAATTCAATGCCTAGTAATCCCACCTCCCCCCCCCAAAAAAAAAGAAAAGAAATTAAAATCATTTAACTAAGAAAAAATTTGATTTCATTATATTTTGGTATCAACAATTTTAAGATGTGGGAAATTTATCCATCACTAGTACTCAATCTTTTAAAAAGTCTTATGAAGAACTCCCTATCCTRTTAAACAATGTTTTGTTTTTTAATATCACTATTGAAAATATGCTGTTATTATTATTGAAATTTGATCAGTTTATTTGACCTTGTAGGTGTTTTATCTGAACAGATATCATTAGGAATCAAGTTTTAAAAAGTACAAAATGAGGAAAAAGTCCATAGAAACTTTAAAAGAATTTTAAAAGGAAGCCAGAACAGACTCATTGATTTTTTTCCAGTTAAAAACGCAATAGTTATTGTTGAAAATTTAAAGATGAAAGTGAACATCAACTTTTTCCCCATCACACTGAGGTGCTACTATTAGAACCTTGGTATGACTTCATCTTAGACTTTCTTTGTATAAACACAAATAATCATACTCTTATATCATGATTTTCACTAACATTTATAGTGTTTTCCCTTTTCAATAATTTGAAAACATTTCTAATGGCTAAATGATTTCCTTTAAAGAACATATCATATCTTGCCAAATTTTTGTTAAATTTGTTTYTCATTCATTCAGTTATATGAACCTTATGTAAACTGGTAGAGTAACTAGTGGAGTATTTTTTTTATTCCTTTGTTATTCATTCTCTACCCATGAACTTGTCTTAATAAAAACTGGTCAGAGACAAGATGGTGCTACTAATTAATTTCTTCAGAGTGTACCTTTAAATGTTTTTCAGATCTCATAGGATGGTTGGAATATAAAGAAGGCCACTGTGAAGACCAGGCCTCAGGGRCAATTTGCTGTTCCCCCTCCACACCACAATTTAATTCCCTTGATGTCATTGCAGATGTGAATCCCAAGTACCAGTGCGATCTGGTGTCTAAAAACGGGAATGATGTATATCGCTATCCCAGTCCACTTCATGCTGTGGCTGTGCAGAGCCCAATGTTTCTCCTTTGTCTGACGGGCAACCCCCTGAGGGAAGAGGACAGGCTTGGGAACCATGCAAATGACATTTGCGTTGGATCTGAACTGGATGCCACCAAAACAGAGAGTTCTTTACCATCTCCAAGCAGTCTGTGGTCTGCTTCCCATCCTTCACCCAGTAAAATGGATGGCTATATTCTGAGCCTGGTTCAGAAAAAAACACATCCTGTAAGGACCAACAAACCCAGAACCAGTGTGAAGGCTGACCCCACGAAAGGGCTTCTGAGAAATGGGAGTGTGTGTGTCAGGGCCATTGGCGGCCTCTCGCAGGGCAACGCCGTAAACCTTAAGAATTCCAAACAGGCGTGTTTGCCCACTGGGGGGATACCCTCTTCGGACAATGGGGTATTCTCCCCACTGAAGCAATGGTCAAAAGAATCAAAAGGAGAGCAACTGGAAAGTAAAAGGTTGCCRCCACCGGAGAGCTGCTTGGCAAGCACGGAGCTCCAAAGCAAGCATCTGCCCCCAAATGCCAAGGCAGCTTCCCAAGAGCATGCGCAGTGTCCAGCCGCTGGGAAAGGTGAGTCTCTGAAAGAAAGCTGTCAGATCTCAGCTGCCTCTCCAAAAGAGAGCCCCGGCAGAGGTCCTGTTCCCTTGCAGGAGAACAAGGCTGTGCAGTCCCTGAAAAAAATACCGCAGAAAAACAGCCTGCAGGCTGTCCCCGCGCCCGTTCCTCCTCCACTGCTGCCGCCTGCCTTTCCTTTGGAGGAGAGGCCTACATTGGATTTCAAAAGCGAGGGCTCTTCTTCGCAAAGCCTGGAGGAAGGGCATCTGGTCAAAGCTCAGTTCATTCCGGGGCAGGCACCGGGTGGCAGGCTCCACCGGGGCCACAGGAACATGGGCGTCTCGAGAAGCTCCACCCTGAAGCACCGAGGCCAGGCCCTGCAGGGTCTGGAGAACAGTCTGCCGACCGTCCGGGAGAAAACCCGGTCAGGGAGCAAGAAGTGTCGTTTCTCCGACGACTTGGATACAAATAAGAAACTCAAGAAAGCGACTACCAAGGGACGGAAGAGCGGGAGTGGGCCTTCCGATGTGGGTCTTCCCGGCAGGCCCCTGGGCAGCGGCCACAGGTCGGGAAACAAGGCGCACRGCCACGGACGGGAGCCGGTGGTGGCCAAACCTAAGCACAAGCGAACCGACTACCGGCGGTGGAAGTCCTCGGCGGAGATTTCTTACGAAGAGGCCCTGAGGAGGGCCCGGAGGGCTCGCAGGGAGCACGTGGGTGTGTACCCGGTGCCGGTGGCCATGTCCTACGCCAGTCCCTATGCCTACGTAGCCAGTGACTCCGAGTACTCGGCCGAGTGYGAGTCCCTCTTCCACTCCACCGTGGTGGACACCAGCGAGGACGAGCAGAGCAACTACACCACCAACTGCTTCGGGGACAGCGAGTCCAGCGTGAGCGAGGGCGAGTTCGTGGGCGAGAGCACCACCACCAGCGACTCCGAAGAAAGCGGGGGCTTAATTTGGTCCCAGTTTGTCCAGACCCTCCCAATTCAATCGGTCACGGCCCCTGACCTTCATAACAACCCCACAAAAACCTTTGTCAAAATTAAGGCTTCGCACAACCTCAAGAAGAAGATCCTCCGCTTTCGTTCTGGCTCTTTGAAACTGATGACCACAGTTTGAGTAGAAAGTGTCTTTCCCCCCTGTTACTGGGGTGCGGGGGGTGGGTGGGGGGAACAAAGAGGGGAAAAARGGGGGGAAAAGATGATGTCTTAATTTTTGTGTGATACTTTCATAGAATGTTTTTCTTTTATTAAGATAAAACCAAGGTAAATTATGTCTCATCTTCATCATGTATGGTCTCTAGTGCCTTTAATGGAAGGTAAAGGATATATTGCTAGTTGTAAGTAAATATTGACGTTTTAATGGTGGTGATAGTGAATGAATTTTGTGGTATCAACTGACTTGTAAATTTTATGAGCATCTGACAAGGGACAGGTTTTGATCAATTTTATTGGAATGAGACCTTTTGATTTCAAGGTCAGGTGGATGGAATCTTAGGATGTGCATTTGCTCCGTGATTCTTAGGGCAGTGTCTCTGTAAGGTCTTTCCTGTTGAGGGGCATTCCATACAATTGTGTGAAGTAAGTACAAGAAAGAGTCATTGTTTCTTTAATTTTTTATTTTTAAATAGTGTAGTCTACATTTCTCAGATGTCTTCCGATCCTATTTTCTTCTCAGAACTTTTATGTTTACTGGACTCAAAACTTGTAGACCAGACCTTAAATCCAGAGATGGCAAACTGGATAGGGAGGCTGGTAATACCTTGACAGGATTCACAAAAACTTTTGCCATACTTGGTGCCTAGCCCCCGTTACAGTAACCCCTTCTTGGGCTATAATTTTGATGCCTTTCTCTCCGTCCCTGATTTGTAGCTAATTCAACCATCTGTCCCATGAGGGACTTGCCTTTGGGTTAAAATGTTGGTCCTCTGGTACAAGGAAATTCAGTCTTAATGAAATAACCTTTGGGCGTGACACCAAGCTTAGAATTGCTCACTGAGCATGGTGCCACCTAAGCATTGGCCTGAACAKTAGTGCAATCCAGCCCAGATTGGACCACTGACCCTATCTGGAAGGGCTTTTTTTTTAGTAAACAGTATTGTGTAAAATGCTTTTTAATACCAATATTTGCATGTTTTGTGCATGAGTAGTATTTGTTTTGATATTCCTGTTGTTAAATTACTGTATGATATAAACAGTATGTGTTTTATATATATCATTGTGTAAATTTAATATAACACATTATATGCTGTAATAAACAATTTGTTTTACTGCTGTTAAGTTTGTTATTTGGGTATAAAACCAGATGTTTACACCTATAAATCTTGTGCTGATTATTGGTGATGTTTGTTAGATTTGTATTACGCCTACTCTAGAATTAGAATATTATTTGCAATAATTAAGACAGGTTTTAATGTTCTTGGTATGGATAATGAGTAAGCAAATCTGGAAAAGCAAATCACTTCTTTAGGATAGTAAGGTAATTTAAAATTAAGGTAAATTTTATAGATGTCTCTTAAGGAAAACATTTCTGAGAAGAATCTCCCCCAACTCTTTTTTATAAAAAAAATTAAACACGYGGAAAAGTTGAAAAAGTGGTACAATTAAACTAGATTCAACTATTGCTGACATAGTTTTCCATGTTTGCTTTAGCTCTCTATTATGTATGTATTAGGTTAAACCATATTACTGATTTTGAAGGTTAAAGACAGATACTGGCAATCCTTCCCTCTCCCCACTCTATACTGCTGCCTCCCTTTAAGGTGAATATCATGTATTTTGATATTTTCTCTTAAAAATTTAAGCAGGCATTTCTCAAGAGCAAGAAGATTCTCTTGTATARCCACAATATCATGATCACATCTAAGGAAAATTAATAGTAATTCATGATATCAAATATTTATATTTAAATTTACCAGTCTGTTTCAAGAATTCCTAAATAACAGCTTCCTTTTCCCCCAACCATGGTTTTGTCAGTGTTATGCACTGCAGTTGGTTATAGCTTGAAGGGTTCTATTCTACTCTTTTTAATCTAGAATATCTCCTCTCATTTAAGAAAAATCACATTGGCTTTTTCTTTTTTCTTGTTCTTCCCCCCCCCACCCACCCAGTGTTGGAGATTGAACCTAGGGATGCTCCACCATTGAGCTACATCTCCAGCTTTTTTATTTTTTATTTTGAGGCAAGGTCTCGATAAATTGTTCAGGCTGTCCTCAAACTTGCTATCCTCCTGTCTCAAACTTCTGAGTAGCTGGGGTTACATGTGTGGGCCACCATGCCCAGTGGCATTGGTTTTTCTAAAGTCAGGATAGTTGTCTTATATAAGGGGGCACACTTTCTGGATGTGTTTCCTTACATTGTGTTTTAATATAGTCTAACTCCTCAATTTTCTATAAACAATGTGAAACTTGATTGGATTCAGGTTAAACATTCTTGGCAAGATTTTACTAGAGATGTTGTGTATGTTTTTTGCTTCACAACAGGAAATATATCAGGTTGCTCCACCATTCCATCATTGCTGAATTTAAGACTGAATTAAGTTGATGAATATAGATGTCTCCATTATAAAAGCTTTTTTTTTTTTTTTTTTTTTTTTTTTGTAAATGGTTGGTTGTGGGAGATTCTTTGGTACAGTGTAAATATACTCTCTCTCCAATTCCAATTTTGGCTTTAGTTTACATTGCTGATCCTTGCCCCAATCAGTTATTGCTTTGGGGATACAAAAGTGGTAATTTTAAAAGTATCTTTCCTTCTTTTATTTGATGACATTCAAAAAAAAAAAGAGTTGTTCTTATTTTTCTTCCTTTCTCTTTCAATGTCCACAGTGTACTCATGGGTTTTTATTTGATATCTTATAATCATTTTAAGTTTCTTCTTTTTGATGCTTGACATGTCCCAAACTTGGACAGTAGGAGGATACATTTTGTTAAAAGGAAACTTACAGAATCAACTCAGTCCCAWAACTCAGATATTTATTGTGACATGTATCCAAATAAAATTAATTTTCAAATGCTAGATTTCAGATGAAACAAAAATCCCCTAACTATCCACTTTTAAGTTCTGTCTTAGCAGAGTTCTTTTTTTCTGCATTTCATATATATCTTATTTCTAGCAAGGCTTTCATCTTTGGAGCATAGCAAATTATTTCCCTATGGTTTATAAAGGTCATATCTAGTAGCAAGATATCTTTTTCCCCCCCAGCATCTTTTTTGCAAAACAGATAATTCTTTAAAATGTTATAGAGTTGCTATTCTCTTATTATATGTTTTTGTATTTAAGAAGTTATTCTGCTTTTCAGAATTTCTTTGATTACCTGACTAAATCTAAACACAAGAGAGGGWTGATCTCATCATTTCTAATGCTGCAATCCCATCTTTTGGGTGCATGACTATAAAGTTCATTGTGTAACTGACTGTGAAGTGCAGTCAGTTCTTGAATCATTTCCAAGTTGTTCTCAATGAGCATTATTTTCAGAAGGGGACACTCTGAAAACCAGCTTTTGAGCAATTGCATTTTAGGTGACAATGCCAAACTTAAGAGAAGCGTGAAAAACAGGATTTTCAAAGAACACTGGGTTTGTCCTAATCCATCACTTGACTTCCCTGTAGCTRGCAGTACTACTGTACTTGGAAAAATGGGGTTTTGTCCATTATTTTCAGTGACAAAATAGCTGCTATTGTTGTTATAAACAAAAGAACTCTTTAAAATATTTTCCTTTATTTAAAAAAATTACTAATGCTCATTGTGAAAAGAAAAAAAAATACATCTACTCAATAAACAAATTTTAAAATTCTTCCTCAAACTTCTCCAAATTCTACTCTTCAAAAAGTTGAATGTATATATTTCCATACTTTTATATGCACAAACAAATATATAACCTTTAYACTTTTTCTTTAAAACAAAGTCTCATGTTATATATATTATTCCATTGCTTTCACCCTTCATTTCATGGACCTGTACGGTAGATATTTTTCCCAATTCTTTTTAAAGGGTTCCAAGTTTTCCTCACTGAGAAAAAAGGCACCAGATTTTATGGGCTATTCATGTTTGCCCTGCTTAAAAATCTTATAATACTTAAGCACAAAGTGTTACACAAAGTGTAACCTAAGGGTTACATTTGCACACACGTTACCTTTCTACTTTTCTCATGTATTTTGTTATTTTGTGTTGTGAGTTCCCTTTCAGTGGGGTTTTATGGAAGACATTCTGTGAGGTTTGGTTAAAGATTTGCCACACAGAGAAATTTTGTGATTTTTCTGCCAAGTGCCTCAGGGATATTTCCAGGCTGGACCACTTTTTAAGTTAATTTATCTACTTTGGGRTTCCCTGACTACAGGAATAAATTAAAATCCTAAATCCATATGAGGACAGGCTGTGGTTATGTGTTCTCAGAGGAGAATTTCCCAAGGCAATCTTCATTATTTTTGTCCTGGGCCAGCAAGTGGGGAGAAAAAAAGAAAAAGAAACAAAACAAAATTACACACACACACACACACACCACACACACTCACCTCTTTTTCTCTCTCCATGTGTTGTGTGTGTGTTTGTGTTTGTGTATTTATATTCATGTATTCTAGTCTAGTCTTTCATTAAGGGGGATAACCCTTCAGGGATCTCAGGAATAGGGGCATAGGAATAGTCCTAAATCCTCTCCTGTGAAGATCAAATCCTAGTCCCCAAGTGACAGTCAAACTCAAATTCCCCAGCTTAAAAGACCACAACTTCCCCTCTGGTTCTCAAGGGTAACCTGAGCTACACACTTAAGGAAATGTTTGTTAATAGTTTATCCAACATTTAAAAGTGCTTTAGAATGACAATAGGTTTTCTTTTCCACTACATGGCTGAAAGCAAACCACATAGCCACCCATTGCTCTTGCCAATTTGTGGGATCCCTTGCTCCTCTTTTTTTTTAATAGCTTTATTGAGGTAAAATTGAAGTAAAATCAAATGCACATATTTGAAGTATGCAGTTTAATTAGTTTTGACATGTATGTAACCAATACAATCAATATAAAAAGCATTTCCATTACTTTTAATATTTTCCTTGAGCCCCTTTGTGATTCATCTCTTCCCCAGAAAACTACTGATCTGTTTTCTATCATTATAGATTACTTTGTATTTTTTAGC